TTAGCTTTGGGGCAAAAGTCACGTTTATGGAAAAAGCTTTTGGTGAATCTTTATGGGGGTCTGATCAGTAACAAGACCCAGGTAATGCATTTTGGACACAGGCCACCAAAAGAACCAGATATAAAACTATTAAAACAAATCAATAAAGTAATGAAATTGGCTTTTATTTAAGCTTAATGTGATATGCAATAGAGGTGCCCCTATTATTATCAAGGGTGCTACACAGGAAGTTAAAGAGAGATACACAAACACTAATGAAACATTATTTACAAGATGTGGATAACAGCAAACAGATACATAATGAATTATCATAAGTACCTTAGATGTCATATCTAACTAGAGGGGAGATGGTAAAGTTGTATACCTCACCCATTTTACCCATCTATTGTCAAAGATATGAAATATGAATTGATTATTTCTATTATAAATAAGCTCAGAATTTCTCAGACCAATTGGAGCATCCTTAGACCCTTTAAAAATAACAGCTTGGATTCTGATTCATGTGAGAAAATACAAACCAAGTCAAGACTTTAGGAGTTTACGGAAATATATAATACTAATCTTCTCACCTCTTCATCTCCCAGTAGCCTCCTCTTCCCGTCCCTGACAGGAAACCCGCTGCCCACGTCCTTCGAGCTGATGTCAGCGCCGTACTCCACGATGACGTCCTCCTCGATGCTGCTGACCAGGCGCCAGAACTCTTTCTCCACCAACTCCGTGGGGACCATCTGGAGGGACAAAGCAGAAATCATAAGAATATCTTTCCTCCTGTAAACGAGAGAAACCTCCAATTGTGTGACAGCCAGAGGATTGAAGCAAACGGGTTCTGTGTGGATTTGACATACATGAACAGGCATGTTGAAGTAGTCTGACTTGAATTGATCAGCCATTTCTCCGAAGCTCTGCAGAGAGTACTCCCTCCCCGCCTGCTCAAAGCCAAAGGCCTCCCTGGGCTTACTGCACTCCTGTCAGGGGAGATGGACAACACTCATTATAGTAGGAAACTAATCAGTGTGGATGACGCATGCAGCAGAACGACAGCACCTTATTTATCCCAAGGGAAATTGGGTTTTGTGACAGTTGCTCTATTTTGGAAGGGAAAAAAAATACAAATATTTATTAAAAGATTTGACATTTAGGTAAAATGTCAAATAAAATATAAAATAAAACTGGACAAAATATTTATATACACTTTTTTTTTTATGTATATAGTTACTGTTTATTTAATTTTCTATTTTGATTTAAATTAATGTGCAATACCTTGTATACATGCTGCTTATACTTCCCAAATCAAGATCAAAAAAGTGTATCTAAAATGATAACTAGTTAAAGTAAAAATGTGCACATTGTACTACAATATAAAACATGTATATTACAATATATACTGTGGCGGATTAGAATTGATAAGATATTAATACATAATGGATGGATGAGGGAATTTGTAAGATGAATATAATCATAAATCGGGAACATTTCTGTACGTGTCAGAGAATGATCAATAAACATGTTTAATCTTTCTTTAATCATTTGGATTGCCCCCTCAAGCTTTACCTCAGCAACACACTTAGGGCAGCGCCAGTCCCCCTTGGGCACGTCCTGCAGGGGCGGGATCAGACAGAAGGTGTGGTAGCTGTCGTCACAGCCATCACACAGCAGGAGGCGGTCCTCCTCATCGCCCCGCCCACACACCAGACAGAGGTACAGGTCGATCTGGGGGATCAGCACCCCCGAAACAAACAAGAGATGGTCACGCATGTGGATAGAATGAACGCACTGCCTTTGCACAATCTGTTTTCTCTTTTACCGCCCATCAAACATTGGAATATGCTTCCATCTGATCTTAAAACCTGCGCAGATTTTCACACTTTTCCCTCAAAGCGCGAGAACATTTATTTTTGGCAACCAGTCTTGCCAACATTCATTTTACTGTAATTTGAGCTGTTAGTTGAAATGAATTGTAACATTTTACAATAAAGATATATAATACAAAAACACTCACAAAGTTGACCTCCAGGGTCTCCTTGCGGGGTCGCATTTTAATGGCGAAGGCCTGGGCTTTGAGGTGACGCTGCTTCCTGCTGAATCCGTCATCTAAAAAGAAAGTAAGTGCCGGTTAGCGGATAGGAATGTTTATAGTATTGTTGTTTTCCTGCTCTTTGTTTGTGCTGAATCCAGGTCAACAGAAAAGCGAGCCTTACCAGCTGATAGAATTCCCAAGTTGACCATCTTGGGACTTGTGCTGAAGATCTTTAGGCCTTTAGGCTCCTTGTTTTCCCTCTGGAAGAAAACAACAACAGCAGAGTGAGAAACAGCTAACCAATCAGAGAAGACTGGGTCTGCAGCACAGGCAGTATGAGAAAAAGAAAGACTACAGAGCATACGGAATACAGAGCACAAGAAGGACGTATTTATTTATGTTTTCAAAATGTTAAATCTCTACCTCAGATTTAAGGCGCCTGGAGCGTCTCTCAGGCAGGAGCCTCTCTTTGGCCTGCATCGCATCCCCGTCTCCATCTTTCTCATCCTCCTCATCCAGCTCCTCTTCCTCCACCGACTCCTCACCGACTCCCTCGTCCACATCTTCCCCATCATCACATTCCTCATATAGCCGCTGGATGCCCTAATTGGAGAAAGAGTGAAACCAAATGAGGGTTCTGGAAACATTTACAAATGTCTCTATTGTGGGTTTTGAAGAACAGGGTACTTTACTGTTGGGATATCTCGCCTAGAGCTGTTTGAAGTGAGGCCAAGACTTACATTTGAGAAGGACACTGAGAACAGCCAAATCCAAATGGGCTCAATGGTTAACAAAAAGTCTATTAACCAGATCACAACACACACTCACAAAACAACTTTCAAAAATGTTTGTTTTGTGTAAGGTTGTCAACGGTAACGCACTTGCAATGAATCTGGAACCCTTTACATGTCAAATAAATCAGCCCATATTAATCCCATTACCAAGTTTGTCCCCAACGTCCTGAGGTAATCAACCACATTGTAACCGCTGTGTTTTACGTATGAATGTGTGTCAGAGCTCCTATACTGAGTTAGTGTTAGCTTGTTAATCGAGCAGCACTTACAGTGAGCGTGGCCCCCGACTGGAAGAGTTCGTATGGATAGAGGATCCTCTCGTAGTGGGAGCGCAGCAGGGAGCCGGTGCCTTTCCCCGCCGGGAAGCCCATCCTGCCGGCCACCTTGGACCACCTCTTCTCTTTGCACACCGCCTCAAAGCCGCCCTCTGAGGACACAGTCTGAAACAAATAACACTTCTTATGAGCAATATGTACTATTTTACAATTGTTGTTCCTGGCTGCCTGTCACTTCCTCTGTTATACCTTAGTTAAAGAGACAATCACTTCGGTGCAATATACCCTTTCTCTGCAATGTATTTGTCGGTGCCATAATGCTACTTAGCCCAAGTTCATTATTTGTATCATTATTATTTGTTTACGTCACTTTTATTTGTTTGTTGAGCACTTCCATGGGTACGGTTTGTCTATTTAAGTCACCTGTTTCATGTCGAGGGGGGATGACAGAGGGTGAGCTTGTGCTGTGATTTTTTCTGTTGACCCTTTTGTCCATAGTTATACTATGTTATGATTTCGTTTATTAAATATCCCAAAAACGATCTTGCTTCACTACGGACTTTCTCTTCGAAAACGCGTCACAGTTTAAAGCCAAGTTTAGCCTCTCGGCGACTCAAACGTAACTGGGGATTGAGCCGCCACAGTATTCATGTTATTATTACTTTAACAGTTTTATATGATCACTTACGTTCTTAAAAATGCTGCCACTTACAATTTCTTACCATTCATTTATAGTTGATTCTATTTTATTAACGTGTGCCGCCTATTTGTTGAATATGTGAGCCTACTAACTTCACGTTTTGCTCTAACACTTATAAAGGATTTCTTATTCTGAAACACCAAAAGGGCCGTTTTGACGAGCATCAGGGAAGGAGTTCAAATCAGCAAAGATTAAGGAAACTGGTACTGTTATATGATCAGACAAAAAAACAATGGAGCATTCAAAAAAAGTTGCTGTATTTCACCTTGCTGAGCTGATAGAGGTCCAACACTTTTCTCTCCACATGAGGGAACCTGGTCTTGGATCCCTGCAGCTCCCAGAACTTTGCGATTTGATCCAGGAAGTTGAGTTTAACCCGAGTGAGGGCCTGGAGAATTAGAGGAGAGAGGACACTTGTAAGTGCACTTAATTGTTTCTTAAGGCATATTTTCTCCTTGTGGGGTATATTTATTGAGTCTTTATTGTCTAATCCTGTATTATGACCTTCATATGCATCAGTGTTCATGGAAAATAGGCCACGAAAATCACATATCTCAAAAGGAAAACTGCACAAGTCAGTAAATCATATCTAAATATGTAAAAACACATTCTGAAAGTTCCTAAGACATGCCTTTAATGAAGGGTTGCTGGCATGATACATCTTCTTGGTAGACTCACCTCAAGTTCATTCAGTCTCTGCACTCGCGGAGTGAAGCGGAAGTTGCGTACATCGCAGGCAAACGGAGGCTGCCAGTCCTGATAGACAAGAAAAAATAATCCTTAACAATGAAGAAATGAGAGCACTTGATAGAGCAGGACTTATCTAATTAGTGACTATATATTACCCATCGTCATACTGTCACAAAAGTGCAGTCAAGTCTTTTTTTAGGGGACCTGTGCACAAATACTGCACATTTCTAGGTTTAAAAAAAAAAAGAAAAAAAAGAAGTGTGTTCATGTTGGTAAGGTTTTTGATAATGATGGTGTTGTTGTTATGAGACATTTTCAGTGAACAAAGTATGTGACCACCAAATAACTCTATAACATCGGAAGTATGCTCATGCCGGGTCACTTGCTGCTATGTGCTCTTCTGGTTTGTTCATACTTGCAATAACTGAATATTTATGATGGCCAGTAGTCAAAGACATTTTTGAGTAAAAGGTTATGTGTAAAACACTACAGAACAATTGCCCTGGCTAGGATACGTTGAGAATAACAACTTTTCCTCGATATTATTCAAAATATATTTCCGCTGCTGACAATCAATTTGGTTTTAAATGTGAACGAGGCACAGATATATGTATATATGCGGTTATGGAGTTAGGAGGATGGAAGAAACTACAAAACGACAGTGTTTATTTGTTTTTGGGATACGTTCAAAACTTTAGATAAATGTTTTTGTTAAACTAAAAAGCAAGGGGATCCTATATTTGTTACACATATTGCACTTTTTATAATTGAAGCAAACCATGCAGTTTTCCTCTGTAAATAGATGACCTTTCTATGAATACGGGATGAATGTTAGGGGAAAGTGATATTCTACCATCTGATTTGGTATAATTAGATGTTCTGTCATCTTAATCTACTAACAGCAATTGCTCATGTGTGCAGTATTGCCGTCTACATTCACACATCCTAACAGTGAAAAGTCCAAGAAAATGTAAAGGTGCTTGTGTAACCACAGTATTTAATAAGGTACAAATATGGGTTTTAATGGTGTGACAGCAGCGACAGGCCTGTCTGTGGCCCAATGTCGCATCCTAAAAGCTAATGTAATAATCACTCTGCTGTTAACTTAGCTAGCCATGAGGAAAACAAACAAAGACATTATAACCGGAACTGTTGAGTTTACTTCGTCTTTGACCAACTTTCATGGACAATAAAGGAACCCATTGTCACTTTAGTACAAAATGTGTTCCGTTGAGTGCAAATAAATAAAGCCTTATATGACCTCTATTAGATTAATGGTAACTAGTAACGTCGTTGCTTAAGGCCCAAGCAAACCACCACTCCTTACTTAGGAGCATATGAGGCACATCCATGCATAATGGAATACAATCTCTTTTTGAAAAGGATATGTGAGTTTACCTCGGGGGGTCGGATCTTGCAGATTCCCGTTTTCTCTGCAATGGGTCGGATCTTGTTGATAAATCCTAAAGGATCCGAGAAATCCTCCCAACTCGGCTCAAAAACGGGGCATTCCGGAGGGGGGACGAACTCTGCAAATGCAGACATGTTGGTGTGGTGCAAGTGAAACAGTCTTTAAAAATAATGTGTAATAAAACAATGGTTGAACTCAACAGTCCATGATTAAGTTCCAATAATATCCGTCTTTGGGAAGTTCCTCCATCATGATCCTTCAAATCTCCCAAAAAAACGAATCAATGCAATGACAGGGCATCCCGATCAATGATCATATTCCGGTTAAAAGTGAATGCCAAAAAAAAAATACAACCGAGCTGCTAATGATCAATGTTTCCCATCATCCGTCAACAGCGGGCCGGGCCAAGCCGGGGAGTCTTCAGCTCCACCACTCCCCTACCTGGGACGGAGGGCAGGGTCACTCCAAAACACCATCATACACATACATCCTCTATGCAGGGCCAGGGAGGATCACTGAATTTGAAAATAAGTTTGTAAACAAAAGCACCCGTCTTGATAGTTAACGTCACAATGTAGGCTGCGATATTATGTCACGCAAGCTAACATTGCTATTGCTCCGTCTATGTACCTGGATAATGCATGATTTCTTCGTGATGCTTCATTTCAAACAAAGTTATCCACGGTTGGCTTAGTCCCGACGATAGCTGGGTTCATTCGCTAACGTAACTACGCTCCTTCCTTAAATAAACTACGTCCACGTCTCTGAGCACCTGATAGCTAATGTACCAGACAAGCTGAACCACAACAAGGAGGAGGCTAGTACCAAGCGTACATTGTTGACTGGTGTGTTGACTCCAGCCCCCATTCATTAAAGCAATGGAAAACTAGCATACAGCTAATTTGCTAAAAGCAACTTAGCCACTGCTGCTCATTGCGCAGCTAACATTGACGTTAGCCGAGATAGTCGACTGAACAGGACATTCACAATGTTAATCGGAATCAGAAGGAAAACACGCTTTAGTCCTTTTGCTTTGTTTTATTGGGTGTCCTTTTCCGTATAATTTACCGTCGTCTGTACGTAGTGTATCCGCATTAGCCGTCGTGCTAGCTAAAACTAGCCAGGCTGGAATAGCTGTTATGGTGCCTTCAGTAACACTCGGAAACCTTTTTACTACTTCCGAGTTCGCTGGTTTTATAAACGGCAACATGCACCCACTCGCACAACTAACAACGGCAAATGGCTGCTGGTAAGCCTTGAATCAGAAAAACACAAGGGAAACAATGACTATAAGGACCTTAATTAGGAAAACATTTTGCAACCAAACGCTAATGTGTTGTTGCGTTACTTTCTATCGGCACGAATCTAATATTTCCTACGGCACGTTAAGGTAGCATTATTTATTTGTATTTATTATTTGCTTTCATAGTGCCCTGTTCATGAATACCACATTGTTAGAACAATACAATTCAAATTGGCAATTGTTCTAAAGCAAAACATTTCTAAACAGTTTTCAATCATACATTGTTTCCTCTACTTCTCTCTCAGACGAGAAGCTGTATCATGAAACAATGAAAATCTGTTCTGCTTTAATGAAGTTGCTTTAATCAGTACATTTGTTTACCAGAAATGTTTCATAACATGAACAATAAGAGTCCTACTATCAAAATCATGTTCAAAATAAAGCACAACACGTTGTAAATAAGCCAATTTATTTGATCACATTTAATAGAAGTCTTGACATCTGTTGCATCTAGTAGTCATCATGGAATGGATACTCTGGGTGATCGGACCACCTGTTGAGTAAAAAAACCGTAATTATTTATTTATAACACTAACCAAACATCAGTATGCATTGTTAAGTATGCTCTATACTCACATGAGAAGCTCTACAAATCGAATATTCTTGTTCAATCCTTCAATTGCCTTCATCTCAGCCTCGGAAAGAGAGAAGTCGAATATCTGCAGGAGTTAGAAAACAGATCAATGGCAACATGATAGGATGACCTTTCAGAGGTTATTTTCCGCATGGTGAATGTGCCATGCAAACAAACCTGAAAGTTTGTTTTAATGCGGACAGGATCAAAGCTCTTGGGGATGACCACCACTCCTCTCTGCACGTTGAACCTCAAGGCCACCTGGGCTGTTGTCTTGTTGTACTTTTTAGCAATCGATGCCAGGAGTTGATCCTCCAACAAAGGTGGGCATTTTAGGTTCACCCTGTTGAAATAAATTATATAATACTATGACACAGCACATTTTATGCTTAAGGTTAAATACAAATGTATAGTTCAAAGGTCATATTTGTGCATTAAAGCTTAGAACAAAGTAACATTTGATAATAAATGTGGTTATTTTAGATTTTCTCTTAGATTTAAAAGGCTTTATTGATTGAATATACTGAGTCTCAATCTCCTTGAGCAATGCAACATACAATATCATTCACATCAAAGTAAAACAAAAAAATATGTCCCATACCATGATGCATCTCTAGATGTCCCCAATGGACTGTATCCAACAATAACGATATTTTGCTGCCGGCAAAACTCAAGCAACTTGGGCTGAGTAAAATAGGGATGACATTCAACCTAAAAAAAATACAGAATTACTTTTGAACATTAGTCCTGTATTTATGTCCCAATGTTGGTAGTCTATGTGTTTTGCATATATAGGTCACTGACATAAGGGCATTTTCTTGGCTTTGTCAGATAGTCCATAGTTTAATGTTATTTTTATTGGATTTGCCTTTTCCAGAACAAATATGCGTTATTATCCTGACTGTACCTGGTTGGACACAGGCTTGTGTTTTAGCCCAGGTTTGTTGAGGATCAACTCCAGTTGTCTCTTATTGAAGTTGGAGACTCCAAGAGATTTTACCAGCCCTGCGTCTTTGCAAGCCTCCAAAGCCTGTCAAAATAAATAAAGGGAAACCAATTAGACTTTGAGCAGAAATCCTTTAGACACACACAACACAAGATATGAGCGTCATAAAAGTTTCCTGTCCTTGAGCAGATAAGGTTGGAGATGACATTTTTAAGTGCGCTAAAGTTCGGTAAAGTCAGTGTTTACCATAAATAATTCTCCAACAAGTCTCACCTCCCATGTAGCACAGAGATCTGTCTCGTGATAAATATACTTTCCGTTCTCATCTTTGGGGTAAAATGTATCTCCTGGCTGCAAAAAATAAATATATTATAATACAAACATTTTTTTGAATGGAGTCTTTTACAATCTCAACAAATGTTTTATTAGATGCACGAATACCTTGAAGGCTGTGGGCATTTCTACAATATAGAGGTCGACATAATCCAGCTGTAATGTCTTCAAAGTTTTCTCCAAAGCGGGTCGAACCAAATTCGGGGGATGGAATGTGTTCCACAGCTTAATAATCAGTACAGATTAACAGTTAATAATTGTTGCGATAATGTATCAGTGGTAATGAAGGTTGTTTTGGGTAAAAGTTTTCAAACCTTTCCACAGTAGAAGATGTCCGCTCTCTTCACAGTTCCATCTGCAATTTTCTCCCTTATAGCTTGTCCCACCTCATGTTCATTGAAATAGACTAAAGCTCCATCAAGGTGTCTGTACCCTGTTTCAATAGCCAGTTTGACTGATTCATATCCAGTTCCTTTGGGGGTCTATAAAACAAATAAAAACACCTTGAGTAAATAATACTTTTGAAGAAGTGACAGATGAATTTGTGTTCATGACTTGCAGGCAAAATATGAATATATGTCCTACAAGCAACCTAAATAATGTGTCTTACCGTGCTGGGATCCCCATAAGTTCCCAGTCCTATCAAAGGTATGCTGTTTCCATCACTCAGAGGAACAGAGTGGCTCTCTGCTATTAAGTCCATGCTCAACAAAGAGTGAGTCTTCAAGGCTAGACCTAGTCCTGCTGTCAGTGTATTTGTATAAAACTCAGGTTAAATATTTCCAACATTTAACATGTGAGTGACTGTTATCTTACTGCTCTTTGATCAAAACAAGAGGCTCCTCCTAGTCCTTTTTTGCTTAGTGTCCTCCCACATGAACTGGCTTCAATAAAGTGTTGGTCCCTAAAGGCAAAATACTGAGTTGATACAAACTGTATCTGTTATTTTTACTTTTCGTTTTAAATTCACGTCTAGCTATAATGTTCTCAGACAGAATGGTGTTGCCTTAACCATTGTTGGCAATTATCATTTGGATTTTTAGGTTTGTAATTCCCATGCACTTCCCCTTCGGTCTGCCACACTTTCTTAAGACTGCAATGAAAATTATACCTTGAATCCCTCTCGTCTGGCCATTTTTCAATGGATGTAATATTACTTTTGATTGGCTGTGCCCCTCTACTTCCTTTGTATTTTTCATATTTTGTTCTTGCTATTTAGTTTGAACTGGGTCAGATCTTGATCTACATTGCTGTCCTTCCAGCTGGAAATAGATGGATTCTATTAAATGCTTTAACTCTTTATTAAATAACACAACTTTGGTTTAAACTTGTAGATTTGTTCCTTTCTTACCAGAAGGTGATTAAGTGTGGAATTTCTTAGCCCCATGAATTGATTACCGAAAGTGCATTATATAAAACTAATTTGTCTAATGTTTTTGCACTAACATGTTTCAAACAGAGTTAGAAAGCACTTTTAACTAGAATTTTTTTTTACCTAAACAGCAACTAAACACATTATATAACAAACTTAAAGGTGACCTATCATGCAAAATGCACTGTTGAAAGTCTTTTATTTGTGTCCCCGGTGTTCCAGGGAACTCACCAAGTGTCAGAAAACACAACCCTCTCTATTTTCCTCCATACCCAAATCTCTTAAAAAGGGGCTGCAACGGATCTGATACAGACTGATCCAGATTTGAACACTTCTATGACGTCACAGAAGTGGCGCTACGGCTATTGGGCCAACTCCACCAATCAGGAGGAGACAGCCCCGGACATTGTCGTTCGAAAGCGCTGGAGACGCTGTTGTACATATGCCAGGCCTGTAGATGGTGCTGTTCTCACAGAATCAGCCCATGAAAAGACAGTGTTAAATTGAGCGAAATTAAGACTGGCTGTTTGGTATTTTGAAAAATAAAAAGTATAAATATGCCTTAATATAGGTATGGTCCTACACTATATTATTCAAATATAGCATGATAGGTCCACGTTAAGCAATAAAACATAAATGAAATCACGGGCACGAACCCGCCGCCCTTTCTAATAATTATGACAAAACAAAAGTATCCGAGAGTAAAACCACAATATCTTAGTCACATGTAAATCTGGAATTTTGCCTTTTGATGGCTTTTTCTCAGAGGGGTTTTTGGCCTCAATCGGGCACTGTAGCTTTAAAATACCGCAGTGCCGTCTGGGTAGTATGTGCTAAGTGTTTTGAGCAAAGAATGAACAGATGGTCGCCTTTTCTATGGACATATACGCTTCAAAATACTATGTATGTAACGTAATTTTAATTTACAACCAACTTTGCGCTGTTATACTTCCCCTGTTTGAATAGGAAACGCCGCAAACTGGGGACTCCCTTGTTTATCGTCTGTTTTATATGTGCAATAAAATGAGCTACATTGCTAATTTAGCATTGTAGACGGAAACAATTAACAGTTACACTCCAACTGTTATTGCTAAGTTAAAACCTAACGGCTTTGAGGGATGGAACCACTATGTCTTTAATGTGTTAAGGCATAGTATTTATATTCCTTATGTGGCTTGTTAAGTCAGTAGGATATCCTTTGTTTCCAATCGCCACGCTATACTGATTGCTAGGAAGGAATCGGGCATCAGCAGGGTGGGGGAACATGGATGAGAGTGCCGAAAAGGTTGTCACCGACGACATTGTCATTATCGTGGAAAACGAGGCAGAAAGTTTGCCAGCCGAGGAAGAGAGGCTGAAACAGCAAGGCACCTTCGGGCTCATGGATACCTGCCCCGTCTGCAAGTTAAGCTTCCACAACAGAGAGCCCAAACTACTACCATGTCTGCACTCTTTCTGCAAGAGGTGTCTCCCAGCCCCCTTCAGGAGTGCTGATCCAAGACGTGACACGCAAGGTCAACTCGACAACAACAAATCATGTGAGTAAAGTATTGTTGCAACTCTGATACCAGTTTTGATGATTGCTGTAACTGTGACAGAGAAGCTCTTTATATCTAGAAATGACACAGATTGGGCT